GCGACTCCATTGTTTGCCGCCAAGCCTGTGTCAGTGTCTGTGCCGTCGTTGCTGGCCCCGAATTAGGACTCCCATTGTGGTTGAGCATAGATTCTGTTGTGGCGCTAGACGGTGTGTTGGTGTAGAAGACCCCCCTTCTCTTTTTCTTCAAGCTGTCGAATCAACCTCATTGACTCCAATAGATTGACGGGAGTAATTTCAGATGCGCTTTCACTTGCTAATTCGTCGCTATCGTCGTTCGACTCTGATTCGGAATCTGCCGTTTTTTGCGATGAAGCGGTGCCCATTTCTTGCATACTCTTACGTACTATTTCCAGCCATGACTGTAATGCCATGTAAAATTTTGGGCTAGATAGTCGAGATAGATAATCCAGCACAGGTTCAAATGCAGCTTCCACGTAGAACTACCTTCTTCAGAAGTCAGAACGACAACGTTCGCACGCTCACGACGCCGCATTTTTACGTAATCCACGCGTTTTGACAGGCGAGTTGTGTCGAGATTTTTCCTCCAGCGGCACTGGTTCTCCTTCTCCCAAAAGTGAGCCTCTTGCTCCAATTGTGCTGCTTCAAGAGACTCCTTTGTTGCTTTAGCGATATGTCGCTTTGTGTGTTACTTCTACATTGTGTATTTCTAGCGTTACTTGTCGTAGACTGAGCATTGAGTAAAGTCGCCATACAAGGATGACTCGGGCGTATCTTTCATTTTGTCTTGAACTGACTGCAACAACGCTATTCCACGACTGAAGGCTTCATTGAGCTTCGCCATTCCAACGTGGCCAAATACTTAAAGCCGGCATTTTTTTAAATTGGTGTTTTTGCGCGGTGATATCCGTCAGGTGCTGGCAAGGTAGATGATAGGTGCAGTAGAATTGGCAGGACAGCCCCACGCGAAGTCATTACACTGGAAAACGCTTCCTTGTGTGCCTATTTCTCATTAACCCACGTCAGTTAGACGTTTGGCAAATGTGTTCTGAGCCTTTCGTAACTCGTACTTAAGTGGATTAGTTTTTAAAACAGATTTGCGCAATTGCGTGGGTGAGAACCGAGCGGGGAAATTCTGAGTAGTACGCACAATAATTAATGCACAACCAGCCCAACTCTCTAGATTTTGTATGTTATTAATCAACTTGCTCCCAATTGGCCTTTTCAGCGAAGGTTTTGAGGGTTTTTATCTAAGTATTAGAAAACCCTCAAAGTGCTTGGTTTTCAAATTATTGGTAACGTAAATCGCCACTTAAGTGCGTGATGCCAAATGCGTGCACCGTGCATTATTTCTGCCAATAATGTTGCTTAATTTAGAAATGGTCCAATCTTATTGGTCGATGATGTCATTATCAGTTTATTGCGTGCTTCTTCCTCTGGAACTAAATTGGTCATGTTTCTATCTTTTTAGACAGGTATTTGATTGTATCAGCCACGGTCACTCACGTCGTCACAGGGGCCATGGGAGCGGAAGAGGAAGATACTGCTACGGAGAGAATAACGCTGCGGCGCGGTGGGCCTACACGACTACAGACCTGAAGACAGCTCTAAATAAGGAGAGAAGTACGCCGTCGTATCGCGCATGACAAACATCCCTGTGAGGACACTGTTTAAGAAAGCTAAGGACCAGATAAAGGCAAGTCTCTATCAGGCAGCCGCCGCGGCACCAAGCCAGCGCTGCCAGCGGAGCTAGAGGCGGACTTAGTAGAGTGGGCTGCTGCTATGCAGCGGGTTGGTGTACCCGTTGGTCCTTCTGCCATTCTTGCCAAGGCTAGCGAAGTATACCTAGCGATGCAGCCCATTCCAACGCGGCACACAGCACCGCCAAAATCGCTCACGACGGGTTGGTATCGTCGTTTTATTGAGCGGCATCCGATCCTGACTCCACGAATCGCACAGCAGATCGCCCGCGTCAGAAACCGTGTTGGAGCGGAGGCAGTGCGGGGTCTATTCTACACGATGACGCGACTCGTTATCGAACACAAACTCCATAAGAGTCGCGTCTACAATATGGACGAGACAGCTTTTATGCCAGAGGCATCGTCTCGGAAAGTGGTCGCCCTAAAAGGATCATCTAACGTGTGGACACAAGAGCCAAAAGCAAACTTCCACATGACCGTGGTGGCTGCGGTGAATGCTGCTGGCGAAACAGTGCCTCCGCTCATTATTCTACCAGGCCAGCGCATCTACCGCCTTGAAATGGGTATGATCTCTATTGACAACACTTCTGTGACTGGAGCGCCGAAGGGTTTCAGCAACGCGGGCATCTTTAAGCTGTGGCTAAAGTTGTTTGATGCCCACTTGACAAGATACAATGTGCAGCGTCCAGTAGTATTGGTGCTGGACAACAGTTCCGCACACGTGGGAATCGGTAAGTTTTGTTTTGGGTCTCTCAAAACCAAAAAGTGTTTTGTATTCATCAGTTTTAACGGGTATTATATTACAGGTGAAGTATCAGCGTCCTCGGACAAAGGGATTGAGCTCGTCGGCCTTCCGCCAAATGCGACACATCTGTACCAGCAGCTTGATGTGGCTATGTTCAAGCCGTTTAAGACCATGGTGAAAAGGGCTTTGCAGGCCAAGTTACATGTCAGCTCGGATTGTACGGGATCAAAGTCCGACGCAATCGACATTACGTGCAAAGCGTACAGGAGTAGCCTAATGCAGACTCCCCACAGCGCTATCAAAGGCTTCCGTACCGCGGGACTGTACAGTGCGCGCGGAAATGATAGACGAAAACTCGATTTCGAGCCGATTTTTGTCAATTCAAAAGCAATGAATTTGGGCTTTATATCCAATCCGGAGAACACCATTACGGTTCTTTTAAGGTACTGTTTGTTGTAATCCGCAAAGTAACGGCTGAGAAACACTTCAAAATATGCTGTTGTGTTGGAACCCCCTGCGCGAAAAGTGTAGCCTAAGTCCTAAATTCTGCTTGTTGGGAGACAACGGTGCTGTTTACAAGGACCCCCTGGCTTGTAGTGAATAAGTATGGCCTAACAGAAGTCGTTATGCATTTGTTGTGTCATAGTGTGCTGTATAGGGATGGGTAGAGGGGCATCGCTGTCGGACAAGGAGAAGGGAAGTATTTTGGCCTACAAGGAGGCAAACATGTCCACTAACGCAATTGCTACGCGTGTGGGACGTTCCAGGAAGGTAGTGAACAACTTTCTAAAGGATCCAGAGACATATGGAACCAAGAAGAGCTCCGGTAGACCAAAGAAAATGACACAGACAGCGGAACGCCGCTTACTGCGTGAGGCCTCTAAGAGGGGGGTAAGCGCTCGCACGTTGAAGGATTCGCTTTATCTGCCGATATCCATCCGCAGGGTGCAGGAGGTGTTGCACAACTCGGAGAACATGGTCAACCAGAAACGGTTGGCGTGCCCACCTCTCAAACCTCATCACATTGCTGACAGGTTGAAGTGGGCGGACCAGCACGTTGAACATGGGACTCTGTTGTGTTCTCTGACGAGAAAAAATTCAACCTAGATGGTCCAGACGGCTATCAATATTATTGGCGTGATCTACGAAAGGAGAGAGAGATTTATTCGAAGCGGCAGTCTGGCGGTGGCAGTGTGTTTGTTTGAAGAGCATTTAGTTCCAAAGGAACGTCTGAATTGGCCTTCCTGGAAGGCAAACAAAATGCAGAGAAGTATATCGACACATTAGGCGACTATCTGTTCCCCTTTGCGCACCTCTATCACGGGCTAGACTTTGAGTTTCAGCATGACAATGCCTCCATTCATACGGCGCGAGTGGCGAAGTGGTACTTAAAGGACCAAAGGGTGCGTGTCATGTGGTGGCCAGCCAAGTCTCCTGACTTAAATCCAATCGAGAACTGGTGGGGAATTCTTTCGAGAGCCGTGTACATCAATGGCAAGCAGTACGACACGAAGGAGGAGCTCGTGGCGGCCATTAAGAAAGCCTGGGATGAAATTCCTCTGTTGAAGTTAAAAAGTCTTGTAGCATCGATGAAAAAACGCTGCATGGAGGTGTACAAACTGGAATGGCATAAGACGAAGTACTAAGCTGCCTAGTCAAGGTCGTCACGGTGGCTACAAAACATGAAAACAGAAGATAAGTGCTGATACATTTTGTTCGTCTATCATTTTTGCGCAGGGGGTTTCAACACAACAGCAGATTTTGAAGTGTTTCTCAGCCGTTACTTTGCGGATTACAACAAACAGTACCTTAAAAGAACCGTAATGGTGTTCTCCTGATTGGATATAAAGCCCAAATTCATTGCTTTTGATTTGACAAAAATCGGCTCGAAATCGAGTTTTCGTCCATCATTTCCGCGCGCACTGTATCCACTATCATTAGTAAGCATGCAAAGACGTCTCCGGCTTTTTGCGAGTGGCGGGTCACGCGGAGATGTCGACAAGGCTGCTTGGCTAAAGAGAAAGCGTGAAATTCAAGAAGAGGTGCGAAATAATATTTTGCTTCTTCCTCCAGCACCCTGTGTCAAAGGAAAGAGACCACGCGTTACCGTGGACTTCGAAGGGCGTCTTATCACGCAGGAGATGCTGCTTCAAGGCGAAATGTAGATGGTAGCCAAACTGTGCACGTAACTGGTCACATCAAATACAACCCTCACGTTTGACAATCAAGCACATTGCTCCAAAGCGTCTGTTTTAAGTGCAAAAATATTCCTCTTAAAACCCAAGCAGTCAAATCAGCACCTGGGCCTCTACATTTCTCACTATGGGATTGTTTACAGCGAGCCCAAAATTGCGCACTAAAGTGGCAAATTACGTTAGTAGCTATTCTGCTTATAAAAAACAGATTAAATGAAATAGCTTTTTTTTTTAACGAAAGTACGTTTTTCAACTCTATAATAATATCTTTGTGAATAATTAATAAGCCCTTGCAGTCGGCGACACAGCATTCGCTGTCCGACTCGACCAAATTGAAGTGGGACAGGTGTTCAAACACCGCCTTTTTAGGTTGCCTAAAAATTCTGACCAATGCTATCTTCACCCATAGCGCCGTCGCTGGTCGACGACGCCGTGTGCATGGCCGCTCTGCGCGACCTCCTGAGTATCCTGCCGTCCAACAACAGCGCATCCCAACGTGAGGCTTCCTCGCTGTCTCTGGTCGTGAACTTCCGACACGTGGCTGTCTCTTCTGTCCAGCAAAGGTTGCAGAGTGTGGCGGCCATGGAGAGCTACTCGCATTCTCTGCAGCGCTATCCACTGGTAAAGCAGGCTTTCTGGGAGCAAGTGTTAGCCTCGGAGCTTATGTTGGGAGGATCCACGACTCGCAGACAGCAGCTGCAGCTGCAGCTACGCGATGGTCGATTCCCGAGACTTGTGTTGGATTTCTCGCGGCGGAAGGTCACTGTGGAGCTGCTGGAGGCGCTAGCACAGTTCTTGGAGACGCAGCAGCTGCAGCTGGCGTCGATGCAATCCCAATTCTCAGGGGTGAAGCAGGAGCGACATGTGGGGTCTTTTATTCGACTGGTGCCTGTAGCGCTAAAGTTCGTGAGGTGTCGGCTCACAGTCGAGTTGATAGAGAAGCTCAAGTCGTTGCTGTTGAGGGAGAAACGGGTCGATGGGCAGGGAACGAGGGTGAGATACTGCGTCACGTCGCTGGATTTGAGTGAGAACGCAATGAAGAGCGAGGAACTCACGGCACTGGCAGACGTGCTGTCTGAATGTGGGAAACGGAGACGACGCTGTCGGGAGATGCCTCTGGAGGAGCTGAAGCTGGAGAACGCACTTTGTCGGACACTCACAACGGAAACCTGGGCGGCGTTCCGAGCGTTTGTAGGCGCAGCATTCGGTGTTAGTGCGGACTGTAAGACGCCGTTAAAGAAGTTGTCGCTGGCGAACAACTCGCTGAGTTATCGTCACGTTGGTTGCATTTGCTCGGCGTTGAGAAGTGACACGACTGCGCTGAAGGAATTGTCCCTGGCTCACACTTTTTCGATCGTGGACCCTGAGGATCGGAGAACTTGTTGGCAATGGCTGGCAGTTGGACTGCGGTCTATGATTCCTCAAGAAGGAAGGACTGGACTGCGGAGACTGGACTTGTCGGGGAATCCGCTGTTTCCCATGGATAGCGAAGCGTGGATCGAGGGACTTCGTGACCCACAAGCGACAGTTACTCAGTGGCGGGTGGAAGGTACACCTCGTCCACTGCGACCCAAGCTAGGGTCTAGAGTAGACGTAGGAATACTTCGCTGCCTCTTGTCTAGCAGCACAGAACTGTACTCATCGCCGAGTGAATCTTCTCCACGCCTGCGTATCATTGAGAATGAGGTCAAAGCGGCAAGTCTCGGGCAAGAATCGATGGAGTGGGAAGTGTTATCCTCTCTTGACGGTGATCCTGCATGGCTCTGCGTTGTGGTCCCCGGCTTCGGAGTCGTCTGGACTCAATCTAAGTACGCAATGTCATGGGAACATACGGAGGATGGCTTTATCCCTGGTTCAGCATCACTATCAGAGCTTGTGATGAACGACATGGCGGCTTCTTTGACTACTACCGAGGCTCTGGAGCGATTTGTTGGTGGTTTTGGAGGCGGATTGCGGTGTTTAGAGCTTCGACGAAACGCGTTGTCTGCCATGGACCTCGACGCGATTCTGTCTGACTGTCAGCAGCTTAACTCTCTGGACGTAGAAGGCTGCAGGATTCTGCAACTGCAGCTACTTGTGGACGCTCTAAACAGAGATCTCGGTCGACATCTTCGGACGTTGAACCTCAATGCCAACCTCGTTGGTGCTGACTCTATTAACGTGTTAGCAGCAGCTCTACGTGGTCAAGTGCAGGACAATGTCCCAGTATTACAGGAACTACGCGTGGCACACAACGAAATCGGTGCCAACGGTGTGCGTCACCTTCACGCCGCATTAGAAGCCAACAAAACGATGACGTTGGTGGAGCTGGATCTGCCGAATGAAGACGCAGACGCGCCTCGACGACCTGATGACGATGAGTACATTCAGCTGTATCGAACGCGATGTATGCGGCTTGATGTGTCTTTCCAGAACGAGTTTTTAGGGATTTCTCCACTGTCAATGGACCGCAAATTTACTTTCTTGCTGGCGCTAAATGCTCAGGATCTGGTCCTGGGTCGAGGCATCTGCAGCGTCATCTTTAGTTATGCAGCTAGCGAGAAGCGGCGACGCATACTCTGGAACTCCTCGCACAGTTAATCAATTTAATACTTCGGGGAGTACACTGATGATGCTCGGTACTGCGTAAGTCGCTTTTTGTTGTCTCGCTCAACGTTCGGCTTATTGTGCCTTTTCAAACTTTTGGCCAATCTGACCTTTTACTAAACAAGGGTGGGTAGGGCTAAAGGTGGGATTTGAGGACGAACTGGCCACTAAATAAAATGATATTTGACCGATAACACTGTTTGATTTTCGACTATGATCCAATAATACTTGCTTGTGGAGGCTCCGATTTGGTCTAAAAGGTACCTTTTAACAAATTAAGGGCGGAATGGTCAGTATTTGCCGGCCATTTACCCTTACGTAAGGTCCACAACAGATTGATTTTAAATCAATTATTGGCTACTCATCAGACATACGCTGGCGAGGCATTGTTTTGCAGTATGTCTACAATATTGAGATCAGCGTAGTTGCCGGGGTATTGGGCGTCTCGGCCAGAAGCCTTCGGAGATGGTACCATCTCTTCAAGACAACAGGAAATGTCGACGACACCCGAAAGAATAAGCGGTCATCTAAATGGCCGATTGAAGTGCAACAATTTGTTCGAGTATGTAAAGCAACACTCCTGCTTTTACTTCCGAGAGCTGCGTGAGGTATTAAAAGAGAAGTTTTCAACCCAATTCTGCTGTTCCGATTCGACAATTTGTCGTGCTTTACGGTTCGATTAGTGGCTAACGCGAAAAGTGCTGACTAAAAGAGCTCGTGAAAGTCTCCCAAAAGAGCGCCAAGAGTATGTGAACAGGTTATTGCCTTTCTACAGCGGGCCAGATCAAATCGTGTTTGTCGATGAAACTTCAAAGGATGGAAGGTATTGTACAATATCAATTTTGTGACTGCTACATCTTACCTTGTTAATTTGTTGTATGGTATTGCTATGGTTAAGTCCTCCCTGAAAAAACACGCGTGGTCCGCGCGCGGAGACCCAGCGGTTGTGTCCATTCCATTTTCCCGCGGAAAGCAAATCTCAGTTATTGCTGCGTCCGAAAAGGAAGGATGTTTTGCGTGGGGTGCAACCGAGCATACTTTCACCCGGCAGACGTTCCACGAGACTTTCGAGTTGAAAATTCTATCATTCCTCAATCCGTGGTCTTTACTAAGATCAATTGTCAGTTTGGACAACGCCAAAATTCACATGTACGAAGAATTTCAAGAAATTATTAAAGGTACTGGTGCACTGTTATTTTTTCTGCCGCCGTATTCACCTGACTTGAATCCTATAGAAGTCGGGTTTCTCTTCTAACACGAAGGATCCAACGCCACGCAAATATGGCGTTCCATGACAATCCTCTTGCGGGCCTCAATGTCGCGCTGTATTTTTGTACTAGACAGTCTGAGGAAGTTGGGCAAAAACATTTTGTACGGCCACTGTGTGTACGATGGGAACAAACTCAGTATAAAAATCAGAAAGTTTCAATGAAATTCATGTATTCGTACTGAAAACATCGTACTCTACCTCTACGACGCTTCTCAGAGCTGATCGTTAAGGTGATCGACAGCATCCATTTCTTCTGCAGGAGCGGGAGTCTCACAATCTACCGGGTCACGGAACGGAGGGCGAAGGCTGTAGGCCGGTAAACCGAGAATTTCCTGGCGATCCCCAACATGAACTTGCACTTGGATCACTGTACCTTGATTTCGATCCTGAGCATTCTGAAATTCATGCTAGCCGTTGCTTGAGCTGTATCTTGATTCGTCTCCATTTCCTTCGAAAGCTGATCAATGTTCCGAAGTTGTCGAAATGTTGTGTTATCAGGAACTTGTAGTAGAGCGTCAGCTGGAAGTCGAGCTTGCATTGTTGCCATGTACAGCTGTGAGGCTGGCCCACTCGAAATATTGCGCTCAGCTAGCATAGCTGCTACACTAGGAGGATGGCCCTTACGGAATGCCTCCTATCTGATCGGGTGCTTCCGACTAAAATTTAGCCGGACCCTTTGACGAAAAAAAAGACAAAGTTAATCAATGACATATTTGACCCGATTTGACAAAATTTCATTAAAATATTAGTATGCATTCTGGGCAACTGGTTTGCATGCGCCTGATTAGCCCGTCAGCTAACCGGTGGCGTGGGTTCAATTCCTATGTCTGTAGAGAGCTCGATGCTTGAGGTAAGTGTCGTGTGCAGGTCCTTCGTCGGATCGCAGACATAACCAAGTGTTTGGGTCGGCACGCCGCATCCCTCCGGGGATGATTCTAAAATGGATCAGTCGGGATAGGATTTCCGGGAATAATTGCACCACCTGGAGGTTCTGTCCAATCGTCGTTCGGCGGACGGCAGATGGGATAATGCTCTCGGCACAAACGTTCTCGATTGTTTAATCCCTACTTTATTGGAAATATACAGATCATGGTTTTGATACAAATTTTAAGATAGATTAACAAAACCGAAACAGATTGTGTCCACATCTTATGACATTTGGCAAATTTCCATCCCGTTTCGACATGATCTCCTAAATTTTGTCGAGCTCTACCGTGAGTATTCCGACGCCCTGGCACCCTTTGGCTTAAAGGCTCACTTTTAATTTTACAATATCGCTGCCACTACCAGCAATTCTTACCTACCGCCTTACCATCAAGAACGGCGATCCTCTCACTTCGTGCCGAACAAGACCGAGCCCATCGACTTCTGGCTTTAGGCTATTCAAGGCTCAAGTAGCAACCGAATTCATCCGTCGTCTGCCAAACGACTGGCAGGATGACTTCAGCGTCTATCTCAAGCCCACCAAGCACGCTCACAACGTGAATTTCTCGGGTTGGACGTGCACCAAATACCCTGTAACGTCCACCAAAGGATGGTCGACGGCGCACGAGCGCAAGGTACTAATTCCGAGTACAAAAGGCAGAAAAACGAGTGGAGTTAACCCCTTCGTCACTAAGGCTTGATAAGGAAGCATGTGACATTTTCCACATGCTTGATAAACAAGCATGTGGGGATCGTCAGAGAATGGGCGTTTAGTCCGTTTAGTCCCCAATGCACAGGGCTTGGGGTCCTAACTGTAAAGAGAAAGTTTCTTGGAGATACGCTGTCGTAAAGACAGTGCTTCAAACGAGAAGCCTCTGAGCCATCCATTCATTCTCCAAAACGAAACGCGGGACCAAGATGCCTCCCCGCCGCGTCACGCGCGCTGAAGTGGAGGCGTTCCTGCGTCGTCTGGACGGGAAGGAAGGCGCAGAACGCGCCCGGCTGCTTGAAGAGCACCGCGCGTATGTCGACGGTACGCGTGACCGCGATGCTGACTTGGTGACGACGTTGCGGGTGAACCGCTTGTTTCAGCTCCCACGTCAGCAACGACAGGAAGGCGGCCTAGGATGACAGTGGCCTCACGCAAGCCTCCTGCTCCAGCTACGTACCAGAAGAAGGGCGCACTAGTGGGGTACTACAATTTGCTGGCAAGAGCGCCGCGATTGAAAGGGAAGGCGCCAGTCGCAGCATTGCATGCAGAAGAGCTTGCTACCGATGCTGCTTCTGCTGATGAGGATGGGAGTGACAGCGGAGACGAAGATTACGTGGAAACAGGAGAAGACCAAGGAAATGACGACGTCGAGTTTGACATGGCGACAGCGCCAGAGATCACAACACCGAAGAAGGCGGCGAAGAAGAAAATACCGGCAAAGGCGCCTGGCAAGGCCAAAGCAAAAGGTAAGCGTAAGCGCGCACCATCGAATAGATCAAGAGCTGACAAATCTGCGCGTACAACGAGCCCACACGTTGCTGCTGGTGACGAAGCCGTCAGGTGAGGAGATTATGCGTTTTGCGTACGATTTGTATCTCACACTTCATGATTGTAATTGTTTGTAGCGATGCGTCTGTTGGTGGGGATTTGGACTATAGCGAAACATCGCCATCTCCGCCATGTGCAACAGACACAACGCAGGCAAATCGTGGAGCCATGTCGACATCGGAAGGTGCTTCCTCTGCGCAACAGACTTCACCGCTAACGCCACCTCGGTCTTCGGCTGCCAGGTACGCTGTCACATGATGGATATCAAGCATGTGCGAGATTTGTTTTGACAACATGCTGTATATTATTGTTGGTTTTGCAAGGTCACTAGATATGGCTAGTGTTATTCCTACAACCCCGCCTCCTCTCTATTCCCGTCAAGATTCCCGTCACGATGATGACATCTATGATGGTGGTGCATTGGATTCGGATTACGATGATTCAGACACTGGGTCAGCAGAATGGTACGAGGACATGGACAATCTTGAAGATGTTGTGGATGCTGAGATTCCAAGGGAGAGCGACACGGAGACAAGTGATGAACTGTCACTAGATGCGCCTCCAACTGGCGATTCACCGAGTTCTACACCTGCAGTTGGCGCAGCTTGGACAGCGACCTCCATGAAGTAAGGAGGAGGCCGAACGCTGGAAGGGCATCATTGACAATTGGCGCATCGTAGAAGGGTCTGATTTATCTAATATAATAGATACAAAGCTCGCTACAACTTCTTGAGAGGAACATCTATTCTGAGGGGACCATTCAAACTAACCGGTTTCATCGCTCAGTTGCAAGCCCAGCTACTACAAGTGGGGTCAGCCGAATTTGCAAACACGGTAAGTAAGGTGCTTATTCTGCTTGCTTTTCTCCTTGCTAACTATTACTGTATGTGTCCAAAAATGTACTCACCTAGACCAGTTACACCACTGCATGGCGACGCTCCACCGTCCACCCACCAGCTAAAAATGGACGACGAGTGGGTGGAGGTGAATGGAATTCGAAAGTGACGTCAACGGCAGTGCAAGGTATGTACTATACGGAAAACAAGCAGTACACAGCGGCAGGTGACGCGATTCTACTGTCCTGGCTGCAGTAAAGGCTCAAAACGGTACGTTGCTATGCTCTATGTTTCTTACTACTCCTATCTAACACGTATAATGCAGTGTCTACTTGTGTGACAAGGTGCGCCAAGGACATTACCCCAGTAACAACCAGACTTGCTTCTCCATTTGGCACCAACTTTGGCGCAATGGAAGCGAGCGCCCACAGCCGCGGCACGGCCGCGGTATCCAGCTGAGGGCCCCACC